AGAAAATGCAACTGCCGGAAGAAAGAGGAATGCCCACTAAAAGGAGAATGCCAAACCAAAGGGGTTGTCTACCAAACCACAGTCACCAACACACTAGCCAAACACAAAGAAACCTACATTGGTCTAACGGAGAACACTTTTAAAACACGCTACTTGAACCACAGAACTCAGCAAACACATATGGAAACTAAAAGACTCTAACACGCCATACACCATCAACTGGAAAATTGTTAAGAAATCACAACCTTACTCAAACAAAACCAAACGCTGTAATTTATGCCTCTCGGAGAAATTCTTCATCATCTTCCACCCAGAACTCAGCTCGCTCAATAAGCGAAACGAACTCATTTCCGCATGCTGCCATCGTAATAAACACATACTAACGTCATTTATGTAATACTATATCACCTAAACAATTAATTATTCATCTTTGTGTATAAGTTCCGTTGTGCTATAGTGCTATATTTATTCTCCTCACGAGTGTGGCAAGTTAAACAACTGCCATACGAAACAGTTCTGTAGGGAATAAATTTCGATGAAGTAATTTGTGGTTTATTTTATTCTCAATTATATATATATATATACACACAAAGTGTATTACAATGTGATCTCACCATAGTAAAATGGTGACTCCTGCACTTGGGACACAGGACGTACGGTTTATATATATCTATATATATATATATATCATCGTAGGCTCATTTTTTTTATTATAAATTGTATTATATCTAAAAATAGTCATAATACAATCTATAATAAAAATACCGAGGGGATCGTTTTTAAGGCAGTCATTGGTTATAAACATAAAAAAAGAGGCTGAGCCTGTGATGATATACATATATTTATTTAAAAACAAATGTAATAAAAAATAAGATATATATATAAAACGAATATATTTGAGGAAAAGGGTATATTTAGTATATAATACACAATACTTCATTGCTAATGTCCAAAGTTCACTTCTAAAATATGCTATAATAAGAAGGAAGAAAATTGAGTTTACCCTTATGAAATTTATTACCACCTCAATGAATACTAATAGGAAAATAATCCATTTTGCGTAATAACAGTTGATTGCGTTGAGTTATTTTTTACCAGTTTTGCAACCAATTAACAATGTCTCCCCTCCAACAAAAATCATCATACAACCAAACATCTATACAATCACATTTTGCTCCACGAAATTTCCTAATATGAGCTTTAGAATAGTTAACCATGTAGAGTGAATTGCTATAATTTCTTGCATATAAATTGTTTCTTGATGTATTTAACAGTTTTTTGACATCATATAACCAGAACTTTGCATAATAACAGTTGATTGCGTTGAGTTATTTCTTTCCGATTTTGTAACCAATGAACAATATTTCTCCTCCAACGAAAATCATCCAATAACCAGAAACACTTAGAATCACATTTTGTATTAGGAAATTTCTTATGATTGTTACGTGCGTGGTCCCGAAAGAATAACTATTAATTTTGGTTCTATTTCCACATGCAACAAAGATAGTGTGAACCAGTTATATTTCTCAACAATTTATTAATTAATGCGTAAATATTAAAGTAGATAAGTGTCTTAATAATAATATCAATAAGTATGAGTAAAACATATCTCCTCTGTCTGAGTACAACCGCGAGTCTTTATTCTTGAGCGTTCGTGAGTCCAACAATGACTCACAATAGTTTTCCAATAGATTAAAGGCACAGAAGCCAAAAGGTAGTTATGGCACAGAAGCCAAGATAGTTGTCTGGTAGATTGTAGCTTGTCACCCTTGTTAACGACTCACAAACGTACGAACAACCCAACACCATCACTAGTACGCAAACTTAACAGTAAGATCTTCTCTATGAGAAAATCTAACATTATATATGAACGTATTACTATTGACTCAGATTTGTAGTACCACGACCACCCAGACTATTCGGACTACCAAAACTTCACAAACCACAAATACCCATGCGACCAATTGTATCTTTCTGTGGTTCGCCTACTTGCGAACTCTTAAAATACTTGACTGACATACTGCAACCACTTACAAACAAATCAAAACACAAGCTACAATCCACTGAAACTTTCATTATAAAACTGAGCACTATACAAATATTGGACAACTATATACTTGTGTCTTTTGACGAAGATATCAAAGCAAACGGAACTCTTCCTTTTCTCGACTGTTTGGTAAAACATGACTATCAAAAACTACGAACAACAGTTTATCGCAAGCCAACAAATACTGACCGACTACTAGACCAATCATCTTACAACCCTACATCACACAAAGCCACCACAATCAGAACATTAACAAGACCTGCACAAATCATTTGTGATTCACCGGACGTTTTACACAACGAAAACAACTATCTCAAACATGTTTTTGACAGAAACAACTATAACTCTGACTTTATCAAACGCAACACTTACAAACCAAACGAACCCAACGAAACGTACGACTCAGTGACAACAGCAAAGATACCTTAAATGAAAGGTACGTTTGAGACTATCTCGCGTATCTTACGACCATACAACATACGTGTCGCACAGAAACCAATCACAACGTTACGACAAGTACTAACGAACATAAAGGACAAAGAACAACCCAACGAACGACAAGGTGCAGTTTACAAAATAAACTACTCCGACTGCCACGCCTCCTATATCAGGAAAACTGGCAGGAATTAAAACATAAGACTTACTGAACACAAACGAGCTACTAAGAAACAAGACAAAACTAATCTCATTGCCGAACATCACCAAATCACAAAGCACAACATTGACTTGGACTCGGCAAAATGCATTACTTACAGTTCTGACTATAGATAACGGCTTACATTAGAAAGTTGGTATACCAACTTGGAACAAACCCCCCTGAAAAGATCACAGCAATTATCGGCACCTTACAAACGACCTATTTACAATACAAACAAACGATCAACTAAAAATATTTCACTTCACACTAATTCACAATGACAATACAAATGCACAACTTTTTGCAACTTTTTCGAAATGTAAAAAATATTTGTCCGCTTCCTGTTCCTGGAAAGATGGAACCATTCGAATGTGTTTTGTAAAGTCAAAATTATCTTTATCAGTCCTGTAAGAATCATTACACCTAGCTGCCTCAAGTCCTAGTTTCTTCAATTCTATCTCCTGCTCTCTAATTCTAAACTCTCTTTCTTCACGCTCCCTTTGCCACTGTCTCTCTTCTTGCTCTCTCTGCCATTGCCTTTCTTCCTGTTCTCTCTGCCATTGTTGCTGTCCATCTAATGTATTTTTGTTATTTTCAGCCAACGGTGGCCTTAGCAACCTGTGAAGTCGAGTGTATAGCTTTGGCCTCAACGGTTCGAGAAGTTAAAATCTTTCAAAATCTTCTTAGTGATCTCTTTATTGTAGTAAGGGCCCCAATAATCTTTTGTGACAATCAAAGTGCCATATTTCTTTCTAAAAACCCCGTTCAGCAACAACTGTCTAAACATATAAATATATGCTATCATTTTGTTAAGGATGATGTTAGATCTAGATGATTCAGGTTAAATATATAGCTTCTGCCGCCAACATCTCTGACATCTTTACTAAGTCCATGACTAGATTTCAGATTAGCAAATTCTTAGGAAGTCTCATGGGATGTTAAACACTCTATTAAACTTATTTTCTCCTTTATACTTGTTCTATTATGAAAAAAATGAGAAAGGTATAAATAGACTCATTTATGCTTCTTCTATTTTTATATAACTACTATTCAGTTTAAGTGGGGTTGTTAAGTGTGAACTAATACAGTACCATGTCCAGCGGATTATGTAAGTCGTAGTTCATGTATTTATAAGATAATAATTGTACTTTGAAGTTGATTCTTACGGACATGTCCTCTTTGAGAGTGGTGTGTGTTTCTCATTATAAAAAAGAATCTAAATTAATTTTCCATATACATACATATGGCGACGACAAAAGGGAGTCCAACATAGTACAAGGACCTAAAAGAAAAGCCACAGTCTTGTTAAAATTACTTAATATCATGGGCCCGACAGCGATTACGTCTTTATTTGACTTGAAAGGGATTCAACACGTCATGAAGTGCGTGGAGTTAAAAGCACAATTAGCCTGCCTCAACCACGAATAGTATGAAAAATGGTTTGTATATAACAGAAAAAACCTTTGGGATTCTTTGCCGATTGAAATTAAAGAAAGTTTTTTAACAAGATCGCTTCCCGCAATCTCTATTAGTACAACCTTTTATATGTTGCGGCTGACGTTGCTAACGTATTTAATGAAGCTCTAGTCTATTCTATGATCTTAACGATGACATATATTTACCCATTCATTTCATCTGAAACTGAGGTAATAATTGAAAACTATGTTGCTAACGCAACATTGTATAAAAGTTCCACAAGTTCTGCTGTGATGTTGTAAACCTTCAAAAAATTTTATCAATGCTCTTTTGGGCACCAGCCGACGCGGAAGAGCAACATTGTTTGATGAATTTATTGAATGAAATTAAAGAACTGGGAGTTACCATTATTTGAATAAATTGAGTACATTATCAGACCATCTGAAATGTCTCAGTCCAGAGAGACAGCTCTTATTCTAGAGAAGCAGCTTATTGGAAGATCTGTCGCTTTAGAAAGCCCACCTATAGATTACTAAAACAGACATCTTTTAAATTTTGGAAACAGCCACTAAATTGCTCGTGGTGGTGCGCAGACTTTCATACAATTCCCACTTGTGTGTTTATAAGTGTACGTTTGGTTAACACAAGTGTTTTCATTTTGTTTTATAATGTTAACACTTATTGATTTTCAAAATTCGAGCTATTTAAATTCAGGGTTTCGAAACATCTTTTTTCACGTTTTAAAGTTTTTAATAAAGGCTAATGGGCCAAATAGTGCCGTAAAAATAAATGCTTTTGACTATCTTTTATAGCAGGTTATTTGATCACACTAAGACACGTGACAAACTATGCTCTACAAAATGATTAATTTTCTGCGCATTTTTCTTCTGCTTTAGATAAGTATGAGCATATCGAATAACAAGCAAACGACAGTGATCACTCAAGACAAAACGTTCATCTAACATCATCGTGTTCAAGAAGCAGATTGTATCACACCGGATAAGTACAAAGGTATTCGTATCAGCTATAAAGATCAACATTTGTTACTGTTGTGTTTCTCAAATTTGTGTCATATAAGCTCATATGAGATTTGTGAACAGACATTTATACACTGTGTAATAGATTTAAAGAAGGAAAGCAGCAATACGAATGAACTGAGCACAGTTTATGAAGCAGCATTGTTGTGCATAATATGTGATATGTGCAAACTTCAAGTTTTATGGATTTACAAAGCGCCACTTAAACATCATGTCAAATTTAAAACAATCGCTTCGTATTCAAAGAAAATACATCATCCGTTTTGCTAGCAATTGGCAAAGAACTGACACGGCAGAGTGGTTTCTTTTTATACTATTACAAACTTTATTTTATGGTTGATGGTTGAGTTTGCTTAAGTTACCGAAATTAGCAAAAAATGTGTCGACTAGTTTGCATTTTACGTTGATATTTCTGCATATTTTTTGTCACACTTGTAACCTTTGACCGGTCAAAGTACTTTGTTGTTTACAGAGCAAAGAAGATCATATTGCAATGCAAATGCCAAAGGAAGCTTATTTTTAAAAGGCCGTGTAAAGAATATTTGCTTATATTTTATAGTTAATTTATTGTTAGGAAAAAGATCTCGCTCTTTCAATACTTTGTTAATCATACATTAAAGACATTGATTCTTTTTGTGGGAACGGATCTAGGATTTTTCGTACGTTAGTCAAAAATTTATGACGTCATATGTGGCGTTAAAATGACGTCATCGATGACATCAAAAATTGTATCATACGCAACGAATCAAAAAAATTTTTCGATAAAAAAATTGCAATAGCTAAGATGAATAGGATAATGTTCCAAATTTTAAAACATCGTCTGACGTGAACAGCATTTAATGTTTTTCCAAAATGTTCTATACATGACATCATTTAATATATTTATAATATAATAATCTTATAATCCTATTTAGTTTTATTGAGCAGGAAAATATCTAACTGTCAATAAAATCTCACATTTTAAATAGAGGATGTAGAAAACTTAAACAGAGCAAAATTAGATATCAATACAAAAATTATCAACACTACAAAAATTTGAACGCATTGCTTATAGTGCTGTTATCTTACCAAACAAATGACCACAGAATAAAGTAAAGTGGTGAACATAGCTAATTGAAATGATGTTTTATGTCAAACGCTATATTAACACGAACCTTTAAAAAATGTCAAGACTTTAAAAAAACCTTTCTTGCTTTTGCCGAAACGCCTTAGCTTAGAATACATGTCACCAGAAACTACTCTTTATGGTCAAATAAAAGGGGAATTTCATGTATGATTTTACCCACGAGTCATCGACAATTTAAGTAATATTTAAGTAATCATATACACTGAAATTAAACCATTTTTCTAATACAAATGCAATACTGCCGACAATACGTTTTTATTTTGTTTGTCTATATGAGATGTCGTTCATGCAACTGTCAAATAAAAACGCATATGACTTGCTCTCAATAAACGTAGCCAGTCTTATCGAATGTTTTATAATTTTTGTGCCAGCGTGCTGATGTTTTCCCTGTCGCATTTTAAAAGACCCTCTTTCCAACAACCTTTACTACTACAAATAATATTTAGTAATATTTAGCGACTGAAAGTGTAGTTTGAGCAGTATCGTGTTATAAGCCATCAGCCACTCATCAAAATATGACTGTTCGTTTACCTTACGCGGGGACTACAGTTTAACAAATCAATGAGACGATGTCGTTGCCATGTTTACACGCATTTCAGACCAGTGAACTCTAATAACAACTGGAACGATAATTTCGCCGCCATCTTTGAACCCAGCATGATGGCATCTTCCAGGTAGTTCCAGTCCTTTTGTAAAAAAGATGGCATTTTTATGTTTATAAAATTTCAAAAGTAAACCTTGCGTTAGTTTTTTAAAATATTATTAAATTTCAAGAATATTAGTAAAACATGCAGAATGATCAAAAATTGCCAAAATTTAGAGTATTGCTGAAAAAAAAGTTAAAGCAAAGAGAAAAATTACCAAAAGTCCGCGCAAATTTTTGCTGCCTTCCTGCGTTTTTGAAAGTTCCAGGCATACGTGAACGTCCACAAACCACGGTCCGAATTACACACTTGATAACAGGTTATTTGAATCGTGGTTATCCGTATAGGGCAATCGTCAGACTTAGGCAAACCTCCGGTATTCTGATGTTCCTATACGGACACCACATTTGTGACAAAAAGAAGCTTTGTCAAGTGATTGTGCACCACTGTTGGCACGAAACATTATTAGTGACCTTAAGATTTGACGACGCGCTCATCTACAACGCGAGCGGAAATGAATTTTAAACCAATGCGCATGTGCGTGCGTCGTTGAGTTTTGTTGTGCTTCTACTACGCGGCGTCTTTGCTTAATCCCACGTCGTCCTACATCGAAGGTGGAATTTTTCATAAAAAAAGTTTTAAAGTAAGTATTCAGCTTTTAATTCACCTGTTACAATTGTCTGTGGAGTCTGGTATGTGATTGATGTGTTGATATTTATCTGTGAGTAAAATATGTTTACATTTTTGCTTTTAGCAAGGCAAGAAAATGGCAGAACAGTTCTCATCAGCATCAAATGATTGCTCATCAATTCTTCTTCGTTTATCAAATCGGCGTCATACGCAACAGCTATAGCATTTCTTGTTTTTTTGAAGGAGGCCATTTTTTTGAAAGTATAGGTAGTGAACTCACAAGTTCGCGTCGTTAAGGAAATCCAATCTTAATGACTTAACTTACAATGACACGCGGACGCATTCGCACCAGGCCATGCGCGCCAAGCTCGCGTCGTTGTAACGCGCGTCGTGAAATCTTAAGGTCACTATTATGCCAGGAGCGTGCGGCGCAATTAACGCTAGTTATTATTCACTATGTGAGCATTCTCGGCCGTGATTGGTCAATTCTCTGCAGATAATTCTCCATATCCGTAGGTTAGACGTCATAACCTACAGATAATAGTTTCTACAAATATGGCCACCATTAAAAGCCGGTTTTGAAAACAAATAAAACAACAGCGATGTTTGCCACAGTTTCTAAAACGATGTGAGAGATTTTGAAGGAAAAGGATGCGGAAAACTCTAAAAAAGCGGTGAAGCTGGCATTAAGCACATTTGCAATATATTTAAACGAGACGAACTTGAATAAACCGTCTGACAAAAACAAATTAGCGAAGGTTTGAAAAATGTTTTATGTTGATATGTTATGGTAATATCTCAGTGAATATTAAAGCAATTATTGAATTCGTTTCTCGCATGATATAAGAATTATTCAGACCGAGGTCAATGTTATCTGCCGAAGCAAAGTGATGCTCAACCTCATCCAATAATTGCTTATTATTTCTCTTATTGATTTTTCGCTTCAGTGTCGAAAGAGCTTGCTTTCGATTCCTTTCCAAATGTCATTTAAAATATTTCGCAGTTAAAACTGTTAAATACAACGACAAGAACTAGTCGACCACAGGTTAAAATCACAAGTACACATATCTGATAACAATCTTATAATAAACTGATAGTAGCCAGCTATCAGACACTTCAAGCAACCGCGATTATATTTTGTGTGTGTATTTTTATTTTGCGTGTCTATTGTTATTTTGCGTGTGTTTTTATTTTGAGCGTGTATAATGTATTTTGTGTGTGTATTTTTATTTCGCATGTGTGTAATGTATTTTGTGTATGTATTAATATTTTATTTTGTATAATTCTTATTATTTTGTGTGGTGTCCGTTGTGAGCCACCGTATGCATTAGCTATATTCAAGAAAGAAAAAGTTTTCTACAGCGATAAGGTAAGCATAGAGTTCTTTTGGATTCGATGCAAATGACATTTTTAACTCGTTTCAAAAAAATGTTATCAATTTTTATCAAAACCAGATGAACAGGATGTAAAGAACAAGATGATGAAGATGGTTCAAGAGATAAGGATTTCAACCTGAAGGAATGTATAAAAGGGAGTGATCCACATCTTGTTTCCAATTTTCCTGTCAGAAGAAATAAGTTTTTTGCAAGTTTTTTCTGAAGACTTTCGTGGTGACTCAGTAGTTGCGAATTTATTAATACCTACAGAAGACAGCTCTGATGATGAAAACGAAATTTATGGTGCTCTTACATACACCCCGTGTTTCAAAGAAGATTACCACAGATTATTGATAAAACTGAAATTTCCTCAAAAACTTCGCCATTTTTTTGACATTTTTGTATCTAAAAAAATGTCAAGTAAATTGTCCAGTTGAACAGGGCTCAATAGTCTTTCCCACCCAAATATTTCTCGATTTTCCACAATCAGATTATCGCCCATAATCGATAATCACATGACAGAATGGTCGACAATAAATGAAATTTACATCAAAGTGTCCAGATTGCCATTTGAGGAGAGCTAGATTATACAGTTCTGGTTATTGGCTGACAAAGCAATTTATTCAAAAATCCAGGTGGTGCGGTGAAAGAACTACGTGTACACCAAAAGATACATTGTTTGTCTGGGTGATTTTCATACAACCATGTCATATTGTAGCTATATTGGAAAGTATTTAAAGAATTCAGGACCTGAGGCAAAATACTTAGTGTTATTAACCATCCACCTTATTAAAAGTCATTTGTCCTTTACATACTGCACTACTACAGGAAAAAATGATTAACTCAGGCTGGGTTGCGACGGGTTCACTTTGTGGAGTCATGTCTTAAAAAATATAATAGATCAGTAATAGCTTAGAAAATGATGGAAGCCATGGAACTCTCGAGGTTTCAGTTATTCATGCATTAGAAAGCCAGGATTCGTCAATTCTTTTACTGAGTTCTTCATATCATTTCTGAACGCCTTTCCTAACGATAACTTTAAGGGCCTTGTTTATAGTCAAACAATTCAGGATTTTTATACTGATTATACACAGTGTATATCACCGAGAGGAGTGAAAATGATGAACTCTTTTCATTTTGGACATCACTTACTTAGATGGTGCAAATATTTGTGCTGTTTCTTCGTGGATCAAGAAAA